CATCTTTCATGATACTGGAGAAGTTTTCTGTCGGCAGTTCTTCAATGATCCTCTCTGTGTTTTCTGTTTTCTCCCCCTGTTCTGGAATTCCGGTCACTTGAAGATTTTTACTTTTGATTGTATCCCACATAATTCTCAGGGTTTCTTCATTTTTCTTCATTCTTTTTTCTGATTTTTCCTCAGAGTTGCAGCCAAGGTTTGCCTTCAATTTCGCCGATCCTATCTTCCATCGTTTCAAACCTGCTCCTTAGCCCTTCTATGACACTGTCCATTTCTGAAATCTTACTGTTTATGTTTTGGATTTCTAATTGTTGTTTTTGTATGATTTCTAGTTGCGAATTTATTTTAGCATTTTGTTCCTGTATTATTTTCCTGAATTCTTCCATTTTTTTTGTCTGCCTTTTCCATGAATTTGCCTATTTTTTCCTCATTTTTGTCTGCTTTTTGCTTCAGCTCTTGGGTAATTCTAAATATTAAAGATTTAAATTCCCTATCAGTTAGGTCTAGTGCCTTTTCTTCTACTGGAAAGTCATCTGGTGCTTTATTTTGGACACCTACTGGAACCATCCTGTCCTGTGTTTGTAAATGTTTTGATATTGTCTGCTGTCTTCGGGGCATTCAGTGGTTATTTTCCTCATTCATTGATTATAGATTTGTTTATTTCATCCTGCTTTTTTGTTTGGTTATGTCTGAGCAGGCGGGCTGTGCATTCTTTGTTGTTTGCTCATCTGTGGGCACGATACTTTTCACCTCTTTCTCCAATGGGCAGGGTCAATCACTCAGGTATGGTACAGCCGGGCAGGTCTAGTTGAAGGGGAGTTGCTGGGATGAGTTGTTTGTGGCACATACCAGGGCTGACAGTGCGGACCGGGAATCAGTGCAGGGCAGGTTTCAGTAGGCCGTGCCTGTGCTGCTTGGGAGCGTGATGTTCAGTGCACAGTGCACGTAGGCAGAAAGGAGGGGGTAGACTGTGATGTGTGGAGCTAAGATGGGTACTAGAAAGAGGAGAGAGAGGAGAGGAGAACAGGAGCCAAAAACAAACAAACAGAAAAGCATGCTAAGGGTGCTTGCTACTGGAGTGGAGAGATGAGAGACTGAGAAATGGGGAAAAACAAAAATGAAACAAATAATAAAATAAAAAAATGAATAAATTGAGAAACTGGAAATGAAGAAAGATAAAAAGCGAATAAGAGAGAAAAGAAAACAAAA